GTGTAGTAGTGTAGTGTAGTGTAGTGTGTGTGTGTGTGTGTGTGTGTGTGTGTGTGTGTGTGTGTGTGTATGTGTGTGTAATATGCATTATCGCATCAACAGAGCATATACTACACCTTCTTGGCACCCTTGAGACCGGCGAGCACTACAGGCACATCCACGAACTCGTCATCTTCCCCCATGATGACACAGAAAGGCTTGTCGAATTGTTTGAAGTCTTTGTCTAGATCGTATAGCATGAGTTTGAGGTATATCGACTGCACACCTTTGGCCGAGGGGAACATGGGCTCATATCTGTGCAGCACATAAGAAGAGAAGGAACATCCAAATACGTAAGACAGAGTTTATATATTGGCGTATGATGAAAGTGTAAATTTATGCCGGAGAAAATGCTCATCAAAGCATGCGAGAAAGAGTATACGCTTAGATGTATGATACATTACAGATACATATTCAAAACCCTAAATATGTGAACACGGAAGTCCGTGCCCATATACATTCAGGATAGAGCTATGTTTGCACACAAACAGGACCACACATACTTATACACAAACAGTACCACACACACTTGTACACAAACAGTACCACACATACTTGTCCAGCATTTTTTTTAAGTCCGACCCGAATTCCAGGGCTAGTCCGTTGCCACGGATACGGCCCAGGCCCTTCAGCAGCCCTTTCCCAATCTGATTGACTTTAACGAGCGAGTCCTGTCCTGATTTAGTCTTGCCAAACCACGGGCTGACCAGGAAATACCCGTCCACCTCTTCACGCTTACTCCAGCTGAAAGTGGGGAGTTCGATATCAGTCAGATTGAGTCCACACAAAAAAATAGGGTTCAATAATTAGGACAGTCATTAGGTGCAGTTAAGTTGGAAGCGGAAAGTCGGGAAATAGAAAGATGAGTCCCAAATCAAAACGGATTCAATAAATAGGGCATAGTCATTGGGCGCAGTTACAATATGACGCACCACAACCGACAGCAGCCCCAGAGCAGTGTATAAAAGGCGTTGAGATGTTAAATTCGGATCCTAACACACAAATACGCACAAAATATATTAATAATAACAAGCACACAGATAAAAACATACAAACATATGTACGAACACGCGCTCGCACATGCATACAAACATACACACGAGTATATATATATGTGTGTGTGTGTATGTATGTATGTATGTATGTATGTATGTATTATATATTTACC